CTTTACCCTCCCGGAAACTTTCACGCGGGCTCTATGAGTCCGACGCCGAAGCTTCAAGGCCTCTAACCAACCACCTCTACAGCAAAAGACCCGAGGGTTCGGCCACTTCGTGAGGCCGATGACAAGGCCTGAAGGCTTCGAACCCACCACCTATCCCCGAAACCCATGACGGTCGGAGTTTTTGCCGTCTGCCGCCATGGCCTCCTCCCCTTTATGCCTTTTCCCGTCCCGATGCACGATGACAATTCATTTTCACAGAAACCCTTCTGATTTTATCGTTTCGGAGTAATCCGACCATCGCGGGACTTCGCGACGACAGTTCGACTCTGAGAAAAACCTCGGCCAAGACACGAGAGCCTCCCGTTCCGTCCGGGAGACTCAACCCTTACAGCCAAAAATCCTCGGCCACGCCCCTCCTAGAACTCTGATCGGCAACCCCGTACGAGAAGCTGCGAGGGGGCGTGAGGTTGCGTATCACATACCATCCACATTCCTTCCACGCTACAGTGGAGTCCTGTCTCCTAGTTCACGCAGTGCACTGAGCATTCCATGTACTTAGGAGAGTTTCACTCGAGGAGATTCGTTTTCTCCTTTTTATTTTCTAAAAAATATTGGATCTTAGGAAACGAAAAGGAGACTGCCAAGGTTCGGGTCTATGTGGCATCCGCATGCAGGCGTGCTATTACGGACGTGATTTGGAAGCTCAGAAATGACAGACTATTCAGGAGGAAGTTCTTTTCTGATCTTACTATTATGGATACAATACTGACGAAAGTGCGGACTTTGATCTGGGCGGATTGGAGAAGGACACAATGGGCTGCACACATGTCATCGGCCATAAGTAGTTTTTTTAAATCATGGGGTCTCAAAGTACACCTACTAAAACTCAAGAAGAAGGGGATCGTGCTGGAGCCTTGGCTGATTGGTCCTCTACCCCCCTGAAATGGAGTTCATTTCTCCAGTCTCTGGTGCCGGGGCACCTTTCACAATCATTACCCTTCTTCCTGACAGCTATCAGAAGCATTAAACCACCAGTACTTGGCCCAACTATCGGCCATGGCGCTTTCCCGTTAACGCGCCGCACCTTTAGGGCTTCTGGGTACCGGACCACAATGGCTGGAAGCACCAGCCAAAAAAAATTGAAATGGTACCCCGGCGCTTCGGCGGAAATTGGCGCGCAGGGGCATTCCAGGCTCGGCATCGATAGCTGGGCCAAGTACTGGTGGTTTGACCACGAGTACCTTTGCCGTCTGATTTCCACAAGTTTTAGCCTGGTCCCGAACTTTCAGGAGGCCAGGCCCGACAATGGCTGCTGTTGATAAATCTGATCAGCGGCCATCGTTTTGTTTCAGCCTCCTGAAAGGTCGGAGGCCCACTCACTATTTTCCAAACCAACAAAGGTACAACCGTCTTCACCCAAATAGAACGCCCGGTCATTATTGCTGCATCTGGACCGAAAGTTGTGCCAAATACAGCTATAATGACCGGTCGTTCTATTCGGGTGAAGACGGTAGTGCTTCAAAACATCTCAGAAATAAATGATAGGAATGTTACATGTGCGCAGCTGAGAACACCCTGGGCTAGTGAGGTTCGGGTTTTTTTCTGGCGCCAATAGGTGAAGAGGCCCTTCGTGGCTCTGGAGGCTGAGCCTCAATGGCATTTCTCAATGGCCTCAATAGTATATCTGCACTCATATTGTAAGGGACGTTGGCTCCGATTTCCAACAGGTGCAGCTCCCCACCGATAGACCGGAGCCATCGACCTGTGCACGTTCCAACGTGGTGGAACGTGGTGGGCCTCCTACAGCCTACCGGGTAGTTTTCTGTCCTGATGTTCTCGGAAAAAAAACCGAAATATATATCCTGTCACAAGAATATCAAAGCGCAAATGCAAAAAAAAAAAAAAAAAGAAAGAAAAAAAAGAAAGAAAAACAGGAAAAAATGAATTCAGTTTTTATCTTCTTCCTTATAACTCCCCCTGTTCAGAACCTCTTGCGTACAAGGCCGATATATATATGAACCGACAGTCTGTAGAGTTTTCCATCTGGTGTGGGTGAGTGATAGTCTGCTTTGACTTTTGCCACAGGTACCTTGAGGGCAGTGGTTGGTGGTCCCCACTACCTCAGGGTATCAGTTGTCGGGCAGTCGTTGATGCTTAACCACAGCCGGGGTTAAGGTGGATTATCACTTACAGTGTAATCAGTTAGGGGGCTCTGCAGACTGTTTTTGAGGGTTCAGCCTCCTGATGAGTCGGTGAAACTCCGACGAAACAGTTTGTCACAGCCCCTCGTTCGTTGTCCTCTTCTCCCTCTTGCCTACGGTTTACTGGGCAGCTCTATTTGACTATATATATGGACAAAAGCGGATTGCCCCACTTTTTGTGGTCTGCCATCCAAGGCCCACCCCTGGCTGTGGGTACACCCGCAATTTTGCAAGCCCGTTTCTGGACATGGGCATAATTTCGTAGCATAATTTTGTGGTGTGCCATCCAAGGCCCCCGCATAATTTTGTGGTCTGCCATCCAAGGCCCACGCCTGGCTGTGGGTACACCCCCAGTTTTGCAAGCCCTGTTCTGGGCATGGGCATAATTTCGTCACCTGGAACTGAGGGCCTCCGTTACTGGATATGCCTACAAAATATCGCAAGGGGGGTACTATGCAAAGGTGAATGGGGTCGGGGTAAAGATGCAAGTTGGGCGCTGGGACTGGGTATAGCGGGTATTCCCATCTTTCAGTGGGGTACAGATGCAATTTTCCCAAACAAAAAAAGATTTCCAAGGGGGTTTTGTAGAAGAAAAAGAAAAGAGAGAGAGAAAGGCAGACGGGAAATACAATGATCTAACAAAGAAACGGAGAAATTTTGAAAATTGTAGTATTTTCTTTTGATAAAAACTTTTTTTTTTTTTTCTTTTGATAAAAACTTGCTCTATGATAATATTATTTTATTCTTAAATGATGATAAGATATTATTCTTTGATAAAATATTATTCTTGGATGATAAAAACTATAAAAGAGTATTCTTTTATGAAATACTATTCTTTGACAAAAGATGTTTTCTGATAAAAATATTATTCTTTGATAAGCAAAATGAACGAGACCAGAATGCAGCTAAGAAAAAAAAAAGAACCAGGGGCGAGGTCCCATTAGCAGTCGGATAGGAGTGTGGCCTATCCAGTGTGACACTGTGTGGCAGCGGGGTGACAGGTTCATTACGAATTCCTGGGCTGACAGAACAGGAGAAAGGCAAAAGAAAAAAAAAAAAAGAAAAGAAACAGAGACCTCCCACCGGAAATCACGGCAGAGTGCTTCACAGCCATCAGATCACAAATGATATGATCTGATGGTGGTGGTCCCCACAACAGTGAACAACGTCACTGCCGCATTTGTTTGGAATAAACTCGAGTTCTGTCAGCAGTGATCACTGATCATGAGGCCCTCCATATACGTGACTAAAAGAGGGCTGCACCCAATCAGATGATTGCACATTAGGAAGCAAAATACTGATAATCTTCTATCCAGTGGGCCTATGGCCGATCCCACCCTCTTTTGGGGTTGGCCATACCCCCAACGGATTGAAAAGATTTTGGGGGGAAGCTTTCTCTGCACGGGCATGCCCACTGTTAAGGAGAGGAGGAGGGGAACAAAGATCTCCTTACTTTTTCGGGTTATACATGTAAAATACTGACCGTGGGATCACGAGTACTGCACGGCAGGATTTCGGTCACTCAACTGCCACACAAACTCGTTTCTATCCTATCCCGTTGCTAGTGGGACCTCGGCCCAGGTTACCAGAGTACCCGGTCCCGTTTTTCTTTTTTTTTTTCCCCCTAACCCGGCTCTACTAGGATGTTCCACATTAACACCACAATACACGTCCCATTTTCACCGTCTGCCTACACCCTCTCTCTCTCTCTCTCTCTCTCTCTCTCTCTCTCTCACACACACACACACACACACACACACACACATGGACCTTCACGTTCGTTTCTTTGCACCGCCCGCCTGCTTGCATCTCTCTCTCTCTCTCTCTCTCTCTCTCTCTCTCTCTCTCTCTCTCTCTCTCTCTCACACACACACACACACACACACACACACACAGATCTTCAGTTGTTCTGTCACGACGCTCTGCCCTTTCCCACATGAGATCTGCTTTCACGACGCTCTGCCGTTTCCCACACGAGACCTGCTTTTCGAAATTGTCTTTTTTTCCTAGGCCACTTGGCTCGCCCGGCCGTGCCCTGGGTTCACCTGCACAGGGCAACCCGTGCAGGCAAAAATCAGCCCTTTTTTTTTTTTTTCTGTTTCTTTCCCGTGGGGGTTTTCTGCGCATGCCCAAAGGAGCTCAAATCCGGGCTCCTTTCTGGTTTTGAGCGTTGGCTGTCAAGGGGGGTATAAATTGGTTTTCAAAGCGGCTAAAGGGCTCCAGAAAAGGGGGGTGCCTTAGTCTGATTCTTATTTTTTATTTTTTTTTAATCCCCGAATCCGCGAGGAATTCTGATATGACCCTCAGCCAAAAGCCGTTTGTATTGCAATTCTACCTTTTTTTTCCTGCAATTTTTTTTTTTCCTTCTTTTTTTCCTTTTTCGCGCTTGGGCTGCCTGGAACCCTGCCCGGGTTCATGCCCGGCCGGGCGCCCGGGCGTGTGTCCGGGCATAAGTTGGGTGCCCGGGCGCCCGGCAAAACATACTTTTGTTCTTTTTTTTTCTTTTTTTTTTTCGGAATTGTTATGAGCGCTTCAATGATTAATTACTAGAGTATGCAAAATTTTCCAGGCAAAATTTTCCGGGCAAATTGAGACAAATGTTCAACCAAAATTTCAAGCCCCCGTCTCCTCCCCTCCCCCCTCCCCCCTCCCCCCTCCCTCCCCAACCCCAATTCCTTATCCACAACCTTACCTTTTCCCTTCTACACCATGATTATTACATCACATCACACATCACATCGGCAGAAATTTCAGATGACGATGAAAGTTCCGATGAAAATTCCGATGAAAGTTCAGAAACCATGTTCCTTTATTTTATTTGAAACTCTGCTCTCCTTCTCCTTGCTATCCTGTTTCCATTCTCCTTACCCATCATGCACTTTGCTCTTTTTCCTTATCCATAAGAATCTTATCCTTATCCATAAGAATATTTTCTTCCCCTATCCCTTATCCATAATATCACTGTCTTCCCCCTCCCCTCTCCCACCTCCTTTATCCACAACCTTTCCTCTTCCGCCCCCTCCACATCCTGTCTCTTATACACATCTAGATGTGTATAAGAGACAGGTCTTACCCTACCCACAATCTTGTAGTCCTATTATTGTCCCTTATCCATAACCTTATCCTGCTATCCCTTATCCACAATGACTGCCACATCATAATGAAGGGGGAAAAAAGCAGATTCTTTCCCGCGTCTTTTTTTTCCCAAGACGATACAGACACAGTCGTCTATAATTACACAACAGCAAAAGAAAAAAGGAAAACAAGATCCTACCATCATCTTGGAGTTGTCATCATCATCATCATCATCATAAATTACTTCAAAAGTACAAACCTTATCCACAATGGTGGTGCCAATACTGCAACCTTATCCGCAATGACAAAACCTTCTTATCCACAAGCAACCAAAAACTAATCAACTGCAACGACGAGCGCATCACCTCCCATGCAGCTAATTAGCGCCAGGACAAGGAACCAATCAGGAGCCCAGTCCCATCCAATCAATCCACCTTAATCAAGCAACGACGGCAACTAATCATCCTCTCCATTATGACTAGGATGGCTTCTTTACAAAAACGGGATCGCGTCAAAAGCAATCAACCCAAGGAACCAATCAAGGACTATGTAACCAGTCGTCGATAATGATGAGAATCCCAGTCGCGCACAAAGCAGGAGGACGAGGATGGAGCCAATCAAGGACGCGATGGAACCAATCAAGGCCGACGATTGAACCACTCAAGGCCGACGATTGAACCAATCAACGACAATGGAACCAATCAAAGATGATGGAACCAATCAAGGAAGATGGAACCAATCAAGGATGACGGAACCAATCAAGGACGATGGAACCAATCAAGGATGATGGAACCAATCAAGGATGATGGAACCAATTAAAGATGATGGACCCAATCAACGAAAATGGAACCAATCAAAGATGATGGAACCAATCAAAGATGATGGAACCAATCAAAGATGATGGAACCAATCAAGGACGGTGGAACCTTTCACCGACGATTGAACCAATCAACGACAACGGAACTGATCCCAGATGACGGAACCAATCAACGACGACGATGGAAGCAATCAATCATCAATCAAAACCCAAAAGAGAAAATTCATGGGGATGTTGGCTGCTCATGGCACGATAGCTCCTCCTGTCAGGGATGTGCCAATCAACGAGGATAACGGGGAACCAATCACCGAAGACCGAACCAATCACCGACAAACGGTATCAATCGAAAAAGAGGACGGAGCCAATCAACAACGCCGCCGATGACGGAACCTGTCATCAATCAATCAACCCATCAGAGGAAACTTAAGGGGATGTCGGCCCATGCCACGATAAGGTCCTCCCGTAAGTCTGAGCACCTGCCGATGGAGTCGGATGAGATCGGGACGGAGTTGTCGGCCGACGACTGGATTCGCTTCGGCTAGGGTATCACCATTTCCCGCCAATTTTCTCTCAAGTGACTTGGATTTCGATGAGGATGAAGAATCAGACCTGCGTATCATCCGCGCGCTGAGTACCCGCGCCCTCAGCGTCCTTCCCGCCAAATGTCGTCTGGGATCAAACGCTCCATCCACTGTGCCAAGATGACCGCTCCAGCCCCGCTCGATTGCAGTCCGGACCGCTCTCCGAATGCCACGTGTCCTCATCTCCGCAATACCCTGCTGGCCGTGCTCTCCTTGCGCTCCCGCCGTTAACTCCACTACCATCCCAAGCGCCACCACTACCAACACCCACCACCGTATCCCCATCCTTCCTCTCTCTCTCTCTCACTCTCTCAGTGTTGTGTGTGTGTGTGTCTGTGTGTGTGTGTGCGTGTGAGTCACACAGACGTCACTCGGCCCACGCGAACCTGAGACGAACGAGCGGAGAGAAGCGACAAACACGTGGTTTGTCTGTGTATGGGTGTGTAACAACGCGTTGGCTTCAAGAAGTCTGAGCGCACGCTCACACTACTAGGTACCCAAATTCCCCAAAAATGGGAAAATGGGAACGGCCGTTTTGAGGAAATGCAGCCCTGCCCCGGCCTGTCACACTGTGTTCCCAACACGCTAACGACAAGGTCGCTACATCGCACTCTTCGAGGTGCTTGTGGAGGGCGCCGGTCAGACGGTGGGTACGGCAAATGGGAAATGCAATTATTCGTCTTTTATAATCTGTTTTTTCCTTGTTTTTTTTGGGGGTGGTTACTGCTGGCCTTTCGCACCAACGGGTGACCAGCGGGTGTCCATACGAACCTCTCTGCTGTTTTTTTTTTTTTTTTTACATTTCATTTCAAAATCAAAACTTGATTGAGGCTGGGGTCCCCACAATTCTACCCGGAGTTATCCTGGCAGCGGCAGCCAGTTTAGCTTACGGGCCCAGCCGAACTGAAGGCCAACATTCAACAAATCCCAATGAAAACAACTTAGGGTCTCGTTAAGCACTCCTAAAAGAATCCTAAAATTTTTAGGACAAGTCCTAAAGGATTTTTAGGATTTCGTGCGGCCTCGTTACACGCAATCCTAAAAATCATCTTTTAGGATTCGTCCTAAAAAGTCTCCCGCGACCGGTTTTCATATGCGTATACGCAGCCGCGTTGCCAATGTCCATCCGTTCTTGCCAATGTCCGTACAATCCCCGCCAACAGCTACCGTTCGTGGCCGTTGCCCGCGTCAACCCGCAGAAAACCTCCGATGTCCGACCACTGACCCGACGGGCCGCTTCTGCACCGGCAACTCCGTATCGATGGTGCCATGTGCGCGATGCAACGAGTCTGTGAAACGCGTGAATCCTAAATTTTTCGGTAGGTTAGGGGCTACTGGAAAATTTAGGACGATTTTGCCTGGGGAATCCTAAATCCTTTAGGACTCGTCCTAACGCCGTTTTCACATTTTCGATCTCAAAATTGGATTTAGGATTGCGTGCAACCAGGACGCAATCGTAAAAACAGGCACTTTTAGGAGTGTTGACTATCTTATCTTTTTCCATCTCGTAGTTCTTTCTCCCCCTGCTTCGTGCCCTCTTCTCTTTCCGCACAGTACCCAGCCGTTTTTTGGGGGTTCTCCGCACGTGCGCCCATTTCCCCAAATCTCCTTTTCGTCAATTGATAGGCCGCTAATATCGGGGGTTCCATTTTCATCCAATTTTGCATGGTAATTCGGAAAAAGATTGAGAATTTGCGGTAACCTCCAGAGGTCACCGCAAATTTCCTCCGCAGGTCACCGCAAATTTCCTCCCCACACGGCTTCGCAGGCCACTGACAAATGGTCACCCCTTTTGAGTTTGAGAATTTGGGCTGATGTTCACCATGTGTGACTGTCCGGGAACCCTTTTTGGGGGGGGAAATGGGGATTTGGTACCTAGTGTGAGTGTGCCCTGAGAGAGGAGGGAGTGGGGAGGGGAGGAGGGGAGGAGGGGAGGAGGGAAGGACGGGGGAGGGGAAGTAATCGGAGGAGAAGAAACGAAAAGCAGGAGCGAATTTCGCATCCGGCGAAGGTGCATTCCATGAGGTTTTTTTTTTCCCCTCTCGGATCCCATGTGCAGGAGGGGTGAAAAAAAAGGGTACCAAAAAAAAAGCGAAAAAGAGTACAGGTACCTGTCAACTACAGATCGAGGGGTGACGGCCTTGAGATATTGGCGTTGAGCTGACCAGCCTCATGGGCCTCAGAAATGTCGTAATTTCTGAATTTCATAACGTGGTAAGGCATGCAAGTGGCATTCAGGAGGTCTTGGGTTCAGTCCCCAATGGCTTCAACTACCTTACTGGGCAAGCTTGGTGCCGGCTACCTAGAGAAAGGCCGTTGGTCCCCCTGGACTGCTAATGTTGGTAAGGGGAGGGGACCAGAGGGGAGGCACTGCGAGAAGCTTGGTAGCATAGCAGGTATCACACCTGCTAGTGGGTGCAGCTCCCGCATGTTCCCTCCTTGGAGGCTTGAACACAGATGTGGCTGCTACGGGGTTCCCCGTAATACTATTCAAGTTGTCTACCGCGTGGGTGCAGGAAACACAGCCCTAAGGTAGCCAAAGCAATAAGACTAAGCGCGTGCGCAAAAGAGAGAGAGAGAGAGAGAGAGAGAGAGAGAGAGAGAGAGAGAGAGAGAGAGAGAGAGAGAGAGAGAGAGAGAGAGAGAGACCCGACACGACTGTCTATGACGCACAGTTTTCTGCAGCCGCGCGACTTTCTGCGCAGAAGTGTTGCGGGGGTCGAAACGAGTTGAATCGGGATGGCCTGGGGAATTGCATGGGTGCCCGTGCTTTCCTTGTTTTTCCTTTTTTTTTTTGACCAGGGTAATCTTGTCACGGTTGGTAGCCGATCGCGCCTTAGCGAGCGCGAAAGATAACTGTTGACATAGCTTCTTTCTTGTTCTGCCATGGGAAATGGGAATTTTGGCGCGACCGTCGCGCGGTAAAATCTTTTTGAAATTCAATTGATGTCGAGCCCCCGCGGGCTCTCGGAATTTGCTTCGTTCTTAATTTCCTTTTTAGGATTTAGATTAGGAATTCGGGCGCACCTCAATTTTTGCTGCGTGGCGCTTCTTGCTTGCGGACTCTTGGCCGTGTCAGGATCTGTGTTCTGACTTTTCCGCGCCTTAATCTCGTGTGTAACTGTAATTTTTGTTTTGGCGGGCATGATTGCAACTGTAATCCTCTTATTCTTGATATCTTTTGTGGTGCCCCTTTGCTCGTTTACTTCTCCCCCATCATATTGGCCTGAACGCTTGCATGACCCGGATCGATGCGTGGAGCGTGGCTACGTCCCCCATGCCGCGGCCTGGCCATGCAGACGTAGGCACTTCCTTCCGCCTCCTTCCTCCCACCTAAACACAATCCCGAGTATCTCGCGCAAGTATGCATGCTATAAATTTCGCAAGCGCGATTAATTTGCTCTCTAAGAATTTTGGAGTTAGCGCGGTCGAGAGGATTGGCTAACGAGCAGGAGTTGCCAGGTGAGTAGAGAGTCGGGCGATCCGACGAGCTGGTGCTGGGCGTGAGGGGTTGACGTGGGGCCGCGGCGGACTGTGGCACACGGGCGAACCTGACGGGCATGCTCAGACTAAGCGGGCTGACAACTCGGTGTAGGTGCGAGGCGACGGACTGCCCGCATCGGGATGCTGTGAAGAGAGAGAGAGAGAGAGAGAGAGAGAGAGAGAGAGAGAGAGAGAGAGAGAGAGAGAGAGAGAGA